TTGGGTGACACACCTTCCAATCTGACTGACAACCCTTGGGTGACACACCTTCCAGTCTGTCATGACAACCCTTGGGCGACACACCTTCAAATCTGACTGACAACCCTTGGGTGACACACCTTCCAGTCTGACTGACAACCCTTGGGTGACACACCTTCAAATGTGACTGACAACCCTTGGGTGACACACCTTCCAGTCTGACTGACAACCCTTGGGTGACACACCTTCCAATCTGACTGACGTCCCTTGGGTGACACACCTTCCAATCTCACTGACAACCCTTGGGTGACACACCTTCAAATGTGACTGACAACCCTTGGGTGACACACCTTCCAGTCTGACTGACAACCCTTGGGTGACACACCTTCAAATGTGACTGACAACCCTTGGGTGACACACCTTCCAGTCTGACTGACAACCCTTGGGTGACACACCTTCAAATGTGACTGACAACCCTTGGGTGACACACCTTCCAGTCTGACTGACAACCCTTGGGTGACACACCTTCCAATCTGACTGACGTCCCTTGGGTGACACACCTTCCAATCTCACTGACAACCCTTGGGTGACACACCTTCAAATGTGACTGACAACCCTTGGGTGACACACCTTCCAGTCTGACTGACAACCCTTGGGTGACACACCTTCAAATGTGACTGACAACCCTTGGGTGACACACCTTCCAGTCTGACTGACAACCCTTGGGTGACACACCTTCAAATGTGACTGACAACCCTTGGGTGACACACCTTCCAATCTCACTGACAACCCTTTGGGTGACACACCTTCCAATCTGACTGACAACCCTTGGGTGACACACACCCCAGTCTGACTGACAACCCTTGGGTGACACACCTTCCAATGTGACTGACAACCCTTGGGTGACACACCTTCCAATGTGACTGACAACCCTTGGGTGACACACCTTCCAATCTCACTGACAACCCTTGGGTGACACACCTTCCAATGTGACTGACAACCCTTGGGTGACACACCTTCCAGTCTGACTGACGTCCCTTGGGTGACACACCTTCCAATCTCACTGACAACCCTTTGGGTGACACACCTTCCAGTCTGACTGACAACCCTTGGGTGACACACCTTCCAATCTGACTGACAACCCTTGGGTGACACACCTTCAAATGTGACTGACAACCCTTGGGTGACACACCTTCCAATGTGACTGACAACCCTTGGGTGACACACCTTCCAGTCTGACTGACGTCCCTTGGGTGACACACCTTCAAATGTGACTGACAACCCTTGGGTGACACACCTTCCAGTCTGTCATTACAACCCTTGGGTGACACACCTTCCAGTCTGACTGACATCCCTTGGGTGACACACCTTCCAGTCTGTCATTACAACCCTTGGGTGACACACCTTCCAGTCTGACTGACGTCCCTTGGGTGACACACCTTCCAGTCTGTCATGACAACCCTTGGGTGACACACCTTCCAGTCTGACTGACAACCCTTGGGTGACACACCTTCCAGTCTGACTGACGTCCCTTGGGTGACACATCTTCCAGTCTGTCATTACAACCCTTGGGTGACACACCTTCCAATGTGACTGACTGACAACCCTCAGAGGCGAGTGAAATCGGCTTCAAGACTATTGCACTTGTATAGCGATGTGCTTGTACATGTGTGTGTTCAACCCTTGGATGACACTTCTTCTAACTTTAATTGGCAACCTTTGGGTGAGTTACCTGCCATTGCCTCCAGCTGCATGTCTGTTATGTGAGTTACCTCCCTTTGACTGTTACACCAAACCCCACCCACATCATCTGCTGCATTTGTTACCTCCCTTTGTCTGCAGCAACATGTTTATTACCTCCCTTTGTCTGCAACATGTTTATTACCTCCCTTTGTCTGCAGCAACATGTTTATTACCTCCCTTTGTCTGCAGCAACATGTTTATTACCTCCCTTTGACCGCAGCAACATGTCTTGTATCTCCCTTTGTCTGCAGTTACGACCCTTCATCTGACACCTTCATTACACTCTCGGTAACATCCCTGCCACCAGTGTGGGCGTGTCCATCACAGGAATCTTGAAATTTGGCCTCTAACCCCATATGTAGTAACGTTTAGACTTTTGTTTATGTCTTTGGGAATGCCATTGTTTTTTATTTTGAAAAGGTTTCCAACTGATCATGTTTTCCATATGAATTTACTTTGTTGTTTGTATAATCTGATTGGTTCGAGATTGCAGACTAACGGAAAATCAACCAATGTCTCCCTTACATTCTCACTACGGTATATCAATTACATGATAGTTTTAATGAAATGGAAATTCAAGTTGACAAACAAAGAAAGGAATTTAGCAGTGTTACATGTATTTGGCGTCACGACAGTCGACACATGTTTGTAAACATTCCGTTGTGAGTTAAACTCTAAGCATGGTTGTGGTCACCTATCACAGAGGGGACTTTTGACTGGTGGCAGCTATCGTATAGAGAGCTCCATGAATGGGCTATCACTGTGAGGAGCTTGGTTGCATGTCTGTTATCTTCTGCTGCATGTCCATAATGTGAGTTATCTCTCTTTGTCTGTTACCTTCTTTTGCTGCATGTGATGTGAGTTACCTCCCTTTGACTGCTGCATGCCAAGCTCCTGCCCAGCACATGACACATTTATGTCGTAACACACCCTATGTCGTTTCACTCCCCAACAACGCTGCCACCAGTGTGTAAGCAGCCATTTCAAGAATTTTTAAATTTGCCCTCCAACCCCAAATGTGGTGATATTTATGTTTTTGTGAATGTCTTTGTGAATGCCTTTTAGTGAATTTTACGACTGACTTACTATTTTCTTGATGAATTTATGTTTTGTTCGTTTAACCAGAACGGAAAATAACCAGACTTCCCTCTCACATTCTTCCTACACCAAATACACGACAGTGGTTAGAAACCAACATTAAAATCGACAATCAAAGAAAATCAGGGAGGCAAGTATTTGGTGTCACAACAGTCATCATTTGTTTGTAAACGTTACAGTCAGTTGGATGCATGTTCAACTCCATGCATGGTTGTAGTCTCCTGTGACTGCTGGCAGCAATAGTATAGACCTGTGAGGAGCTTGTCAGCATGTCCAACATTCTAACATTACAACCTTTGGATGACACACCTCCCTTTGTCTTCTGCAGCATGTCTGGTATTGTAGTTATCTCCCTTGCTCAGCTGCATGCTTTTCATTCGAGTTACCTCCCTTTGTCAGGCTTGGTGACATTGAAGATGAGTTGGCAGACCATGACAGTGACATTCCTCTGTCACAGGCCACTGCACACACTTCGGTTCAGTGATGACTTATCACTACACAACTGCCACATGACCAGATTTTTCTCTTGACTGTAAAACAGCCACACAAATACTGGAGTTCTTCAGTGCGATTAACAGATTGTTTGGCTCAATAATAACGATATCCAACTACAACTGTGATATATCCAAAGCCTGAGATGTCTGCACGTGGAACCACGCAACAATTGAGAATAAAGGATAATCATGCAAATGCAAATAGTTTTTCACGTCTTACGACATTTTCTCTATGAAAGTTAATCATATAATGGGATACGTTAATTTAGACTATGTTATATTACAGTGTATTTTATTGTTGAACAATGATTGTAACTTTATTGCAATGTTTCTGTGAATATTTGGTAGATACTCATGGCATTGTAGTTTGACAATGATAAGTTGTCAGGAATGTAGTTCTTCTTTATGTTAACAGTTTTGAGTTACTATATTTAGATGCTAGTGTAATGTGCAACTGTGGACTGTGATAGAGTGTTTTAGAAACATATTCAATGTTGTGATGCCACTGTGTGGAAATTTCCAGTAGCTAGTTAGACTGTATATAGAGAGACAAGAACGTGCCTCTCGTATCTCTTACACATTTCATTACATTAAGACCAGCTTTCGTGGGAACATCATTCACCACCCCAGATTCCCTGCCTTGGCCTCGGATGCTTCACCACTGTCGCTGCTGGGTGAATATATTTTATTATCACTGACTTTTACTATCACCACTGTATTTGATACTGACCACTGTCATCATATTATATACTGTCACTGAATATTGTACATGTTATACCACACTCTGTTGTGTACTGCCATTGTAAATTACTGTGCAATAATTTGTATTGATTTGTAACATACTGAATTTTGTAATACATTTGTTGGTTGGTTGTTGGTTTCACATGAAGTTCTTTAATGTAGAGATTTCTGGGTTAACATCTTGTTTTGATTTTGGAATTGACTTGTAACAACTATTATAAAGTGAAATGGACGATAACATAGCAAAATTTTGCGGAGTTCAATGTGAAAAAAACTAACATGTGTTTTCCTAGCAATAACTGTTAGGGAATTTTTCCAATAGAAAGTATATTTTGAACAGAAGTTTGCCCTTTGTACACTCAGTAACAGCTCCATACAGCCATGAGTTACCTCCCGTAGTCTACTGACAGCTGATGTCATTTCAGGTGGCTATCCTGTCATGTTTCGCAATCTGTAGCTCATGTCATTGGGATATGCCTAGGAGGCTGATATCGAGTCTGTTCTGGACTTCCATATCTCCCACATCTTCGTGTCCGTGGGCACCAGAAAAGTGGCTTCACGCAGGCACCGATGTGAGAAAATCAAAGTTGTGTCTTCAGTGACCAGTTGCACTACCCCTCGTTCAAGGATTAACGTCTACAAGGTGAGTTTTTTCCTTTTCCCTTGTATCTAGCTGGTGCTGATTCTTTGTTACAATCGGTCCCCAACAACCTCTGCTGGTCGTCATGGCGACCAATTGGATCAGGTGGTGAGGCTCAACGACTTCGGTGATAGGGTATCCTCCCACCCGATGGTGTGGATCATTGCTCACAATACCAATCAACTATTTACAGGCTGCCGTCATACAGCGGGAATATTGCTGAGTGTTGCATTAAACAAAAAAAACCAACCTGTTGTATCCGTCATGACATCCCACGGTCCCAGGAAAACAGAACAAACAAGTCAGAGCTTAAATAAAGTTTATCAAAACAAAACCGCAATGTCACAGTGCTAGTCAGTTTTGCTGATGTTGACTATGATGAATGGTGGTTGGCTACTTGGCACACAGGCCTGTACAGACATGATCACTACAACAGGAGGATGATTATTGTTATTATGCACAAACGGAAATGTATAAGAGGTTACATTACGGGAGGCTTAAATAGAACACTGCTGACAGAATTACGGTCTTCGTCAAAATAGGCATAAAATATGATGCTCCGTTTAAAACTTTCCAAAACAAGAACCAGACTACAGAGACGAGAATCGTCTCCAAGTGTTTATTGTAAATGATGATGGCTTGAACATAATCAGTTGGCGTTATCAAAGCTGTACAAATTTATCTGGAAGTCAGATTTCCTGTGAGTTTCCACATGCCCGATGTTGCTTCCATCTTAAGAAGGACACACTCAGGGAAGCCCGGTTCGATGAATTCATTTAAGTAGTGATATTTCATCCCTCAAACTCATCACACATACAAATTCATTCTCAAATCAAATAGAAAAGTATGAGCTGGTTATTTTGATTAAAATCAAACCACTTCAAAACTATCCTTGCATAACACTGCTTCATCAAGAAGCCAAATTACTGCTGGGAGCCATATGTTATATGGAAATGGTGAACTGTCCTTAAATACTGCTGTGGTTGGAGTATGGATACTAACTGATTATATTAATACACAAGCTCTCTTTAAGTTCACAGGTTGAAATTATATATCTAATTGTCAAATTGAATCCAATCACAAATACTGTTCTACAGTGAAACAACAAGGGCTAGTCTACATGTTTAAAGTCATCTCATAATAACCAATGTTCAACAACTGCATAGCAAACTGCGATGAAAACTTCACCGAAAGCACTAGAAGCACGATAACTTTGTCATAAATAGCTTCGCTAACCTCACCCAAGTACCATTTACATCTCACCATGACAAACAACAGTGTAACAAATGCTCTCCACTCAATTTGACAGTTACAAAAGGTTTTTCATATTACTGTAAATCCACACATAAGCCCACACCTCACTTGTTATTGCTGTTTACCGTTCTTATTTTTGCTTGATCCAGTCGGGACCCAAACATGTATTATTTGTGTGATACACGTTGCTGACTGGTTGTCGGTAAGACCGAATGATTAATTAATGTCTGTGTTGGAACCTTTCATTATAAGCATGGACTTTTCTGAGGATTGATAACATCAGCATCCCGCCCTGCAGTAGCCAGCACGTGATCAGCACGTGATCAGCACGTGATGATATTAGCTGTACAACTATACATAACAACTTCAAAGACAGTACTCTTTTGGACACACTGTCCTGGAAGATTCCCTATTCTTCTTTCTTCATAAGAAATCTACTAAAGACCAACAGACATGTACAAGTACTGTTTCTCTCGTTATTGCTTGATTTTCCGATAGATCTGTGTAAACAGGGCACACCTAAACTGGCATCAGGGCCACCTGTATCCCTCAACATTAGACTTCTTCTACATCACCATGACAATAATCCTAGCCATTGGTTGTACCAGTCCGTACCACTGTCTGTTTATACACGCCAAGTACCTGCTCCACTGGACCTCCCAAAACACAAACATGAAAGACCACGTCCAGTGAATGACACCATCCCCAAAAGGCTGTCTCCTTATTTACATGCTGTCCAGCAAGGGTCTTGTGAATCATTTAGTTCCAAACTATTAGGAGTGAGTGAGTGAGTGAGTGAGTGAGTATGGTTTTATTCCCTTTTCAGCAATGTTCCAGGCTTATCACGGCCAGGCGCTCGCACATGGTGCTGGTGGGGAATCGGACCCACACCTTCAGTGTCATGAGCCAATGGTCAAATCATTCGGGTTCCATGGCAAATGTTCAGATATACTGATATACTGTGAGTGAGTGAGTGAGTGATTGAAGTTTGATTACTATTAGGATTATTTGAAGACAGTCACTGCACGAAACACCTAGCATTAAACATTGCACAATGATGGGAATGGAACCGGACCTGGCTGAAACCAACACTTCATCCGCTTGGCTACCCCTTACTCCACGAACTTGACCCCCCAGGACTTGACATACTTAGTGGGTTCATGTTATACACAAAGTTACCATGACAACAGGAAGGAAATGACTGGGACTCTTAAACGGTGAAGAATTTGTTTCGAAAAGTCACAGGCCATGCTACTATCATTCTTCCTTGAAGATGACAAATATTTAACATAAAATACTACACCCTTCAAACAACATAGAATATTGATTTTGGTAATGAAATATCATTTACTAAGTATATCTCTTCAAAATATATCTTTCTTGATTATGAACCTATTATTTATATAAATATGTGCATGCAGAAGTACGACATATTTCACATATTTTTAACACCAACAATCAACAAGCCTTATAAGTCAGTCCCTCTCGGTAGAAACAGTCCAACAATAAACTCGGGAAACATCAAACTCTGTACAGCATTCTGCATTAAACAGGATAACAAAGACAACAGGAATTAATCAAAGGATTAACGTAGGAATTTTGGAATTGCATTTCTCAGTCAGAAACATTGTGAAAATGTAAGATGTATTTTTAATCAAATGCATAATGAATTACCCTTTAAAACAAAATGAAAGTTGACTAAATCACAACTTTTCAATCAAACTTTCAATTTAATTTCAAACTGATTTTATACCCTGATATGTTCTGTCTGCCTTACATGGGATGTAACCGGTGATGTTCAGACAATATATCACACCTCCAGACTCCCACATAACTGTCAGGCTGCAAGACATCATAACATGTCTGTCAGGATAGCCGACCTCTTTTCGTAAACAAAAGTATTCAAAATGAAAATTATTTCTTTGGTGACTATGCAACAATAAGCAACAAAGTGCTTATAACATTGTGTCCATCTACAGCTGCCGAAACATATAGTTACTGTTATTTTCAAACATTCTCAAGGAATAAATGATTTCAATAGCAACCAAATTTTCCCCAATAAAATATTGTCTATTGCTCACCCTGGACCAGACAGGACAACAGATGAAAGTTACTTGATACTCAAGTGCAACAACAGGGACATCCAACACAGTGTCCAACCAATCCCCATTAGCCAGGAAATACACAAGGGTATTATACAGTGTCCAACCAATCCCCGCTGGCCAGGAAATACACAAGGGTATCATACAGTGTCCAACCAATCCCCACTAGCCAGGAAATACACAAGGATATCATATAGTGTCCAACCAATCCCTGCTAAGCATGGAACACACAAGGATGTCATCAGTGTCCAACCAATTCCCACAAGTCATGAAATACACAAGGATGTCATCAGTGTCCAATCAATACCCTCTAGCCATGGTACACACAAGGATGTCATCAGTGTCCAACCAATCCCTGCTGGGCATGGATTATACAAGGATGTCATCAGTGCCCAACCAATCCCCGCAAGACATGGAATACACAAGGATATCATACAGTGTCCAACCAATCCTCGCAAGGCATGGAATACACAATGCAAACACTCACTTTCCAGCCAGCATGTGATAACAACAGTAACACACTCCTGGAGAGGCTCTCCTCGCATACCTGCATCCTGTGTCCCATCAAATATTACCATTTGAATTGAAACTGTTTACTTTATCAAAGTCTGCTTACCTAAAAAGCCCTTTAATGTTGGTGAATTCTTATGGAAACTGCACCATTTTGCTTATGAAGTATACATTATTTCTTTTAACAAGGTTGCATCGTTCATGTCAAATTTAAGTTATCCTGTGGTATAAGGATATGAAATCAGACCAGGCGGGCCTAAGCATTATCTTGCAACAACGAAATTATCACAACCTTTCGAAGATGAAAAGTGAGTGTTTGGAGTAAACGTCTAAACATCAACAACAAATTATGATTCATGACAACACATCCTGAGAAAAAAGTGTGATCATCAGAAATGGAAAATATACAATCTCTCAAAATAGGTTTAAATATAAGCATTTCTATATTTCATGTGGAAAATAGAAAATATGCCCTGAAATGTAGTTTCTCCAATGAAGGTACAAATGGCTCTCGTTAGCGTGGTTTTAAGAATGAGACCCATTGCTTTGGATGAAGCATGCAGAGTGGAAAGTCATAATACTATAACAATTTATATTTGTGTGATTTCGAGGACCAAGTTTGAGAAAATACATCAGAAACTAACTGAGAAATGAGTGACTACAGTGCATTCATGAGTGAGTGGGTGGTCCAGATGTGGCCATCTAGGGGGTCTGCAGCCAGGAGACACGACACAACAGACCAACTAAACCTCTATGGGATTCAAACTCACATTTACAGCATGACAAGCAAACACACCAACCACTGGGCTAGCGTACTGTCCTTTATTTCAACAGTCTACTATCACTGATGGTACATCAATCAAATGCAGCGGAATTCTTCAAACCCTGACATTGTGACCACGGTATTGTCTTGCATGAGTAAGTTGTGTTTAAACTACTTTGAAACATTGTGCAGTCATAAAATATAGTGCAATCTTAGTGTAGGTAGGGGTTGCAGAGGTATGCAAGTTCTGACTTCCACACCCCCCCTGCTGACAGGAGTAGATCATTACTGAGGGAAATATGGGATTCAAACTCAGTCAGCTGATCCAGGCAGCCAAGGGACAAAACTGTGTACAGCATCACAGGGTCATCCACTGAAATCTCACTGACCCCTAGTGTCCCAATGAACCCTAGTGTCCCAATGAACCCTACTGTCTCACTGACCTCGTGTCCCACTGACCCCTAGTGTCTCACTGACCCCTAGTGTCTCACTGACCCCTAGTGTCTCACTGACCCCTAGTGTCTCACTGACCTCGTGTCCCACTGACCCCTAGTGTCTCACTGACCCCTAGTGTCTCACTGACCTCGTGTCCCACTGACCCCTAGTGTCTCACTGACCTCGTGTACCACTGACCCCTAGTGTCTCACTGACCTCGTGTCCCACTGACCCCTAGTGTCTCACTGACCTCGTGTACCACTGACCCCTAGTGTCTCATCGACTGTCAACCAGGAACAGTGATTGAGTGAGTATGGTTTTACGCCGCTTTTAGCAATATTCCAGCAATATCACGGCAGGGGACACCAGAAATGGGCTTCACACATAGTACCCATGTCGGGATTCGAACCCGGGTCTTTCGGCGTGACAAGCAAACGCTTTAACCACAAGGCTACCCGACTGCCCCCAACCAGGAACAGCATCAGCCACTTCCCAGCAACAGCCATGAGGTCATGTGTGATCACTACCTAATGATGCGACACAGGCAGTAGTTTGTGTGCTGGGTGAAAGGTGGACATCAAGGGGAGACCATTGGGGTAGGGAAGGGTGGAGAGAGAGCCACATCATCAGTCATGGTGTGGTCATCATGAGAACAGTTTTGAATTTATCTAAAAATTAATCCCAGACTGTAAAATATGACAAGTGAGAATGTACCAACATTGATAGTGCCTGGCGTGTTTGCGATGAGACGCTGTCACACTGACAACCATATAGCGCTACAACCAACACAGTAACCAACATGGAGGAAGGGTGGGATGGGGGCTATCTACACAAAGCTCCCAGTTTGTAACAAGAAGTAATCACACGCAACATACATATATATATATAACATAAATGTACAAGTTATTACAGAATTCATAGCAAAGCCATGACTCGCCTTCATGAAGCAGCACATGGGCGTTGTCTTCTCGTGGAAATAATATAAAGATTTTAACCTTCTACACTACCCAATTTCCAATATTTTCTACTTAAAGAAAGATTGTGTTGATAATATTTCCATCATGTTTGGTGAAGGACGCCATCTCCAAGCACTGCTTCATCAAGGGGAGGAAACGAGCGGTATCACCTCACAGTGCAATAGTGTAAATACTCTCATACCCTGATTGGCTAGAATTATGCAGTCCTAAATGTGCATAACGGAATGTATTGTTTAAACATATATTACCATAGATTAACATACTTTATGAGGATAAACTATTTTAATCTCATTAATACAAATTATGCTAAAACATAATCCTAAGAATATTGTTCATGAACCATTTACAACACTGAAGATCTTCTATCTATCATTATTGGAGAGTGACATGGCCTTGGGAGCCAGTATGACAGCTGACTTGGTAGCCACGTTTGGCACGACAACAGCTGACTTGGGAGCCACGTTTGGCCGACAACAGCTGACTTGGGAGCCGGACTTTGCACTGCCACAACAATGCCAGGTTTGGAAGCCAAGTTTGGCACTGCCACAGCTGACTTGGAGTTGCATAGTCTAAGACTCACATTTTACATTTTCAATACATAAAATCAAGAACATTTAAAGCTAGTGTCCAAGAAAAACAATTAATATTGTTACCTGATTCTACCATGTCAAGCCATGGAATACACAGCATACTGACCGGAACATGATGCCTAGCACTGGCGTGGCTGTTCACATATCGTCAACAACAAACAGACGGTCGGGGGAGCTAACAGGAATGAGTGAGTGAGTTGGGTTTAACGCCGCTTTTAACAGTATTCCAGTTATATCACAGCGTGTCAGCTTAATGTTGGAGGAAAGCCCGAAGTGATGCACGTCTCAGATGTTTACCACTTCGGTGAAATCCTTGGGTATGGTGCTGACAAACCTAGAAACATAACAGGGGTGAATCAGAATTCAAACCCACAATCATAGGTTTCTAGCACGCCCAAGGGAAATTCAATTGCCAAAGCAAATTGTGGCACCTAGAACAACAGGGCCACCCGTACCCCCTGCATACAGAGGAATATTCTCACATCACTCACGGGACACAACAAGTTGGCCATCTGTTTCCAGGAGACTATAACAGGCTCAATGACTACAAAGAGACTCTGGGTTTGATGACAGTTATACCTGGCAGATCACAGTGTTGTCTGTGGTGTTTTCCATCTACTGAAATGGTCAGCATTGTTGGACTAATCAGTATGTGTCTGTATACGTTCCGTACTTCCCCTATGGGAATTATTCAGCTTATCCAATGTGAATTGGGGCTGACCAGATTGGACTCGCAGGTTTCATTCTCAAAACATCATCTGTTATTGTTTAAACTGTTGTTGACAACAATATTACAGCAACATGGCCTGCACCAACACTGACCTGACCACGAGAACAACACAGCAACCTCACGTCCACTACAGATGGTCAAAACTATCATCACTCAACAATAGAGCCGTAAGTTGGACAATATAGCCATTTGTTGGACAATATAGCCTTGTCTTGGACAATATAACCAATGTTGGGCAATATTGCCTTGTCTTGGACAATAGAGCCAATTTTGGACAACATAGCCATGTCTTGGACAACATAGCCATGTCTTGGTAGCCATGTCTTGGACAACATAGCCATGTCTTGGACAACATAGCCATGTCTTGGACTACACAGCCATATCTTGGACACATACCAAGGCAACAGAACCATGTTTACAAACGTTCACCGCAGTTGAAATATACCTCCTTTGTTTATCCTACCATTACTTGTATTCATCATGTGTCTGACTTATATGTCCTCCTCCTCCAAAAACTTGTGTCACTATTGCTTCCAAAATATTTTTTTACCTTTTTTTGAAAGGTAGGTTTTGATATTCACTGATATTAAGAGTCTCAGGTGAATTGTTGTGGAATATCAATATTAATAATGCTCCTACAAACACAATAATGTTTCCATCCAGCTGAGCTGTCGTTTGTTGCACTGTGAGATAAAGAAGGACCAGGAAGTGATGATGGTGATGAGGATGGTAAATAATACACAGAGCTACCACACTACAAGCTAACTCAAAGCCGATTGGTTGAGCTGCCTCAGGTGATGCTGTAATCAAGGCAATGATTGGTCCATTATTGGCCAGCACGGTATGATCTGTACATATTAAAAACAGCTTGGTCAGGCACAGTGCTGAAGGTCACCCTGGGTCAAGGTCACTCTGCCAGTAAGGCTTTGATTGCTTTTGGTGTGGTTTCATCTTGTAAGTGTTTGGTTGTGTATCTGAAAAAAAATTGAGAAAAATAAACACAAAATCAATTATACAAATAATCTGGTAGGTTATTTAGAGCAAAAACATTCCGCAAACATTGCAGATACACTGTAACTAATGTTCCATTACTCACCTCAAGGCATTCAGCAAACCCTCTACTTTCCTTGGTCCCTGATCTTTCAAAACCTTAATAGAACTCTTCATCTGAAACAATGGCGTAAGAGTGATGGTCAGCAATACTAAATAACATGTGTTACAGAATGGAAGTGCTGCAAATTGTAGATACTGACTACAACACAACCAAACCACGGATCAACACAAGACTAAATCTGCGTTACAAACTCATAACTATGGGATATACAGTGCCTTCTGTTGTGATGTGTTTGTTTGTTTGTTGTTTAACCACACACTCAGCAATATTCCAGCTATATTACGGCGGTCTGTAAATCATCAATTCTGGACCAGACAATCAAGTGATTGACATCATGAGCATCGATCCACACAATTGGGATACGATGATAAAAATCAACCAACTCAACTCATCCTGTTATTCGCCTCTTACGATGAGCATAGTCGCCTTTTACAGCAAGCATAGGTTGCTGAAGCCCTATTCTCTACCTGGATCTTCGTGGGTACTTTTGTGTGCTGCAGTCAGCAGTATTCCATTTATATCCCCCTTTGACTCTGGGACAGACAGGCAATTGGTTGACAGCATGATCAACATCTCATGCCAGTTGGATACGCAGTCTAGACACAGAGGCTGTGTCATTGTGAAGCAGCCGAGTGCTGCTTACATGAGTACTCAGTGTAACCCAGGTCCCTGTGGGGTTCACTGCTTTGGATCACAGGTTAATCATCACAACAAAGATCCGGGGATTTCCCGAGGAGGAACTGGTGGAGTGTCGCAATGCTGGTCTCACAACTCACATCTATCCCTGAAGTCTTTGCGAAGGCCCCGACTGGATGCACGTGGTCATAGAGAATGATTACGCCGACCATAACTCGTAAACAGAACAACTTTGTCTCCTCACTGGTAAATCTGGAACTGTACTGCCTGCAACATACGTGTGAAACTCATTGGACAACATAATCATAGACGACTGTCTCACACACACACACACAGGTGACAACACAATCATAGACGACTGTCTCACACATACACAGGTGACAACACACTCATAGACAACTGTCTCACACACACACACAGGTGACAACACAATCATAGACGACTGTCTCACACATACACAGGTGACAACACACTCATAGACAACTGTCTCACACACACACACAGGTGACAACACAATCATAGACAACTGTCTCACACACACACACAGGTGACAACACAATCATAGACAACTGTCTCACACACACACACAGGTGACAACACAATCATAGACGACTGTCTCACACATACACAGGTGACAACACACTCATAGACAACTGTCTCACACACACACACAGGTGACAACACACTCATAGACGACTGTCTCACACACACACACAGGTGACAACACAATCATAGACAACTGTCTCACACACACACAGAGGTGACAACACAATCATAGACAACTGTCTCACACACACACACACACACACAGGTGACAACATAATCATAGACGACTGTCTCACACATACACAGGTGACAATACACTCATAGACAACTGTCTCACACACACACACAGGTGACAACACACTCATAGACGACTGTCTCACACACACAGAGGTGACAACACAATCATAGACGACTGTCTCACACACACACACACACAGGTGACAACACACTCATAGACAACTGTCTCACACACACACACAGGTGACAACACACTCATAGACAACTGTCTCACACACACAGGTGACAACACACTCATAGACAACTGTCTCACACACACAGGTGACAACACAACCATAGACAACTGTCTCACACACACACACAGGTGACAACACAATCATAGACGACTGTCTCACACACACAGGTGACAACACACTCATACAACTGTCTCACACACACACACAGGTGACAACACAATCATAGACAACTGTCTCACACACACAGGTGACAACACACTCATAGACAACTGTCTCACACACACACACACACACAGGTGACAACACACTCATAGACGACTGTCTCACACACACAGGTGACAACACAATCATAGACGACTGTCTCACACACACACACAGGTGACAACACACTCATAGACAACTGTCACACACACACAGGTGACAACACACTCATAGATGACTGTCACACACACACAGGTGACAACACACTCATAGATGACTGTCTCACACACACACACAGGTGACAACACAATCATAGACAACTGTCACACACACACAGGTGACAACACACTCATAGACGACTGTCACACATACACACACAGGTGACAACACAATCATAGACGACTGTCACACACACACAGAGGTGACAACACAATCATAGACGACTGTCACACACACACAGGTGACAACACACTCATAGACGACTGTCACACACACAGGTGACAACACACTCATAGACGACTGTCTCACACACACACACACACACACACACAGGTGACAACACACTCACAGGGCTCGAAAAATCCACTCGTCCGCTCGTATTTACGAGTGGTAACTGATGTCGGGCAAGCTAAAATTATCAAATACTCGTCCTAACGGACGAGCAGATACTCACAGCAGTTTAATTTATATTTGTTTTGATGTGCGATATATTGACACGGAAATCACGGCCATTCAGCCGATCGATATTTATGTCGCGTATAGCATTAACAATTAGGCTGAGGTTTGTCTCTTGATGTATCTTTGCGCAGGCTTTGCGCTGAAACCAGTCTTTATTTATTGATGTAAGCGGCCGGTTGCTAACTACCGGTGATTCGGTCAAGACACACCCAATGGTATAACTTAATAGGATTTTAATGCAAGGATCGTCAAAAATTGTATTTGAAACTATTTTCTTTATCAGGAATAATATATTCCAATATCTTGTTAAATTAGATGCAGCTTTTACTCAAATTATTAAAATAATAATAACCCTAAGCGAAGCAGCTGATCGCTATTGCCGGTATTATTTTTTACATGGAACCAGTCTGACCAGTCACCGTCAAGGCTCCCGTGCACGTGATCGCGAGAATTACGTGTTGACATAGAATCGTCCAACAAAAACAAATATGACTTTTAACGAGTCACAGTATGGCATTTATGATATATGTATCCATTCTCTGTCAACTAAAGTTCGTTTCAAGGCGTCAATAGCGGTAATCTGACCGTGGTTGCTGTTAATAACGGTGAGTTGTGCGATCTTCCGATCGCTTCACACACGATTTCGCCGAAATTAATTAAAACAATATTAAAAGGAATTTTGAATAAAATGAATAAAATAAGTTACAAACATAAGTCCAGATATACAAAGAACACTTTTTATAGCCAGACAGTGTAAATTACATGACTAATTTGCGTACTTCAGTATGGATTTGTTGACATGGTATTTCCGGTGTTACGGGCTCACGGTAATGTCTTTCCATGGGGGAAAAAACATCAAAACTCATTATTTCGTGTATAATGCGCACCCCCTTCTACACAGCTGTGTTTTTTGGATAAAAAGGTGCGCACTATACTCAAGAAAATACGGTAAACCAAAATGGCGGATATGAGAAAGATTTTCTTGTCGGAGGGTCGTGCCGACAAAAAGTTGACTGCACAGCGGAGAAACGAAAACTTAGTCCAAAACAATATGGTTGAGTGAATTTGAATGGGCAAAATTTGACGATGATGACAGCGAGTTGTATTGCACTGTCTGTCGAAAATACCCCAAACTATCTGATCCCAAATGTGGACTCGTAACTGGTTTACATCATAATTTCAGAAAAGAAACTTTGAAATTTCACGCTAAAAGTAGGAAGCATATTCAGTGCTGTGAACATGATAAAAATTTTAACAAACCCCAGACTGCGCAGTTTGCCAAGTCAATGCAAAAAGTTGACGAAAAAAACAGTGAAGTTTATGAAAAGCTATTCACAACAGCCTACTATATTGCAATAGAAGGGGAACCATTTTCAAAATTTCCAAGTTTTTGTCAGTTGCAGTATAAGAATGGTGTAATACTTCGTACAAATTATTTGAATGATCATGCTTGCAAGGCATTCACCCAATCTATAGCAGATGTGTTGAAGATAGAAACTGCTCAGGATTTGGAAAACAGTAGGTTTGTCAGTATTTTATCAGATGGTTCAATTTATTTCCTTTGTTTTGAGTGGTTACATGGTACATGATACATGATACATGATATTGTCTGTTCAGCATTGAGCAATAGGGCAAGTGAAAATTTGGCAGGACGAGTACAAAATTAAAAGTACTTGCCCTGCAGGACAAGTAGGGTTGAACAAATTTTTCGAGCCCTGACTCATAGACGACTGTCTCACACACACAGGTGACAACACACTCATAGATGACTGTCACACACACAGAGGTGACAACACAATCATAGACGACTGTCACACACACACAGGTGACAACACACTCATAGACAACTGTCTCACACACACACACAGGTGACAACACAATCATAGACAACTGTCACACACACATAGGTGACAACACAATAATAGACAACTGTCTCACACACACACACAGGTGACAACACAATCATAGACGACTGTCACACACACACAGGTGACAACACAATCATAGACAACTGTCTCACACACACACACAGGTGACAACACAATCATAGACAACTGTCACACACACACAGGTGACAACGCACTCATAGACGACTGTCACACACACACACACAGGTGACAACACAATCATAGACGACTGTCACACACACACAGAGGTGACAACACACTCATAGACGACTGTCACACACACACAGGTGACAACACAATCATAGACGACTGTCACACACACAGGTGACAACACACTCATAGACGACTGTCTCACACACACACACACACACACACAGGTGACAACACACTCATAGACGACTGTCTCACACACACAGGTGACAACACACTCATAGATGACTGTCACACACACAGAGGTGACAACACAATCATAGATGACTGTCACACACACACAGGTGACAACACAATCATAGACGACTGTCACACACACAGGTGACAACACACTCATAGACGACTGTCTCACACACACACACACACACACAGGTGACAACACACTCATAGACGACTGTCTCACACACACAGGTGACAACACACTCATAGATGACTGTCACACACACACACAGGTGACAACACACTCATAGAAAACTGTCTCACACACACAGGTGACAACACACTCATAGAAAACTGTCTCACAGACACATCCGGTGACAAGACACACAGACACTTTAGGTGACAAGACACACAGACACATCAGGTGACAAGACACAAAGACACAGCAGGTGACAAGACACACAGACACATCAGGTGACAAGACACACAGACACATCAGGTGACAAGACTCAGACACATCAGGTGACAAGACACACAGACACATCAGTGACAAGACTCAGACACATCAGGTGACAAGACTCAGACACATCAGGTGACAAGACTCAGACACATCAGCCGACAAGACACACACACACATCAGTGACAAGACACACAGACACATCAGGGACAAGACACACAGACACATCAGGTGACAAGACTCAGACACATCAGGTGACAAGACACACAGACACATCAGTGACAAGACTCAGACACATCAGGTGACAAGACTCAGACACATCAGGTGACAAGACACACAGACACTTCAGGTGACAAGACACACAGACACATCAGGTGACAAGACACACAGACACATCAGTGACAAGACACACAGACACATCAGGTGACAAGACACACAGACACATCAGGTGACAAGACACACAGACACATCAGTGACAAGACACACAGACACATCAGTGACAAGACACACAGACACATCAGGTGACAAGACACACAGACACATCAGGTGACAAGACACACAGACACATCAGTGACAAGACACAGACACATCAGTGACAAGACACACAGACACATAATTTTGAGCACTTATGATAACTATGAGGGCATAACATCCATTCAGTGAGTTCACATCAACACAATGCTACACAACAGGGCCGAACTTACGGATTGTCAATCATGACCCGACATATATTGGCCATAGTACTGAGGACATCCGTGGTCTGTTCCACTGGCAGATCTTTGTGCTGAAACATAGAACACAGCCATACAATCGTGGACATTCCATACAATGACAAACTGCGAAATAGTGGACATTCCATACAATGACAAACTGCCAAATAGTGGACATTCCATACAATGACAAACTGCGAAATAGTGGACATTCCATACAATGACAAACTGCCAAATACCATGAAATAGATGACATTCAACACAATGGAATATTGATTGATACATTGTCATACAGTATCATTGATTGTCATACAGTATCATTGATTGTCATTGATTGTCATACAGTATCATTGATTGTGATAGATTGTCATACACTGTCATTGATTGATACATTGTCATACACTATCATTGATTGTGATGCATTGTCATACACTATCATTGATTGTCATACAGTATCATTGATTGTCATTGATTGTCATACAGTATCATTGATTGTGATAGATTGTCATACACTGTCATTGATTGATACATTGTCATACACTGTCATTGATTGTCATACATTGTCATTGATTGTGATACATTGTCATGCACTATCATTGATTGTGACACACTCAAACATTATCATTTATTGTCATTTATTGTCATACACTATCATTAATTGATACATTGTCATATACTATCATTGATTGTCATACATTGTCATACACTATTATTGATTGTTATACATTGTCATACACTATCACTGTCATACATTGTCATACACTATCATTGACTGTGATAGATTGTCATACACTATCATTGATTGATACATTGTCATACACTGTCATTGATTGTCATACACTATCATTGATTGTGATAGATTGTCATACACTGTCATTGATTGATACATTGTCATTGATTGTAATACATTGTCATACACTATCATTGATTGTCATACATTGTCATACACTATTAATGATTGTGATAGATTGTCATACACTATCATTGATTATCATACATTGTCATACACTATCATTAATTGATACATTGTTATACACTATCATTGATTGTCATACACAATCATTGATTATCATACATTGTCATACACTATAATTGATTGTGATACACATTCAAACACTATCATTGATTGTCATACACTATCATTGATTGTGATACACATTAAAAAACTATCATTGATTGCGATACATTGTCATACACCACTATTGATAGTGATATATTGTCATACACAATTTTCATACACAATCATTGATTGTCATACATTGTCATACACTATCATTGATTGTGATACATTGTCATACACAATCACTGATTGTCATACATTGTCATACACTATCATTGATCGTCATACACACTATCATTAATTGTGATACATTGTCATACACAATCATTGATTGTGATACAATGTCATACACTATCATTGATTGTGATAGACATTCAAACACTATCATTGATTGTGATACATTGTCATACACAATCACTGATTGTCATACACTATCATCGATTGTGATACATTGTCATACACACTATCATTGATTGTGATACATTGTCATACACAATCATTGATTGTGATACAATGTCATACACTATCATTGATTGTCCTACACTGTCATATACTATTATTGATTGTGACACATTGTAATATATTATCTTTGATTGTCACACATTGTCATACGTGATATCTTGCACTGAGATGCTGTTTCTACACAACTATTTCCACCACATTTAAGATGGCCATTGATTCAAGGTGGATGACACCTGAAAATGTCAACATGGCACCACCCTCGAATCATGCCTCTAATTATCAACTTCACCCAAGTCCATGTGAAACTTAATTTACCTATTAGAACTAAACTGAAAGGTTGGAACTAATTGCTGCCCAGTCAGAGTTTCCCTAATGTCAAGTCTGACAGACACAACATACATGGTAATCCCCATCACCACATTGTATATTTCTACTTATAGTGAGTGAGTGAATGAGTTTGGTTTTATGCCGCTTTTTGCAATATTCCAGCAATATCATGGCGGGGACACCAGAAATGGGCTTCACACATTGTACCCATGTCGGGAATCGAACCCGGGTCTTCGGCATGACGAACGAATGCTTAAACCACTAGGCTACCCGACCGCCCCTATTTCTACTTATAAACTGAACTGATTCATGTTTCAAACATAAGTTACAGTGGCTGTAGCTGTGCTGTCCTACCTGGGACACAAACTTGGCTGTGGCATCGCTGAGGGTTTTCAGCATGGGCGTGGCATGAGCATAAAACAGAGACATCCTGTTGGCCATCTCATTCGAAACTGTTTCTTCCGTGATGTCATCCTGAAAAATAACAGTTCTCTTGAAACATTAACATCACATCTCCATAGCAACCTCCTCTGTGATGCATAGTAACATGTTTGGTGACTGTCCATGTGATAGCAAAAATGCAGCAATATCATGGAAGGGAACATCAGAAATGGGCTTCACACGTTGTAACCATGTTGGGATCGAACCGAGGTCTTCGACATGATGAGCAAATGCTCTTGCCACGAGGCTACCCCACTGCCCCTGGAGGAGCTATTGAACCGCTGGAGGAGAAGAGAGACACTATTGAACCCCTGAAGGAGAAGAGAGAAACTATTAAACCCCTGAAGGAGAAGTGAGAAACGTTTGAACCCCTGAATGAGAAGTGAGAAGCTATTGAACCCCTGAAGGAGAAGTGAGAAACTATTGAACCCCTGAATGAGAAGTTAGGAGCTATTGAACCCCTGGAGGAAAAGTGAGAAACTATTGATCCCCTTGAGGAGAGGTGAGAAGCTATTGAAAATCCAAAGGAGAAGTGAGAAACTATTAAACCCCTGAAGGAGAAGAGAGAAGTTATTGAACCCATGGAGGAAAAGTGAGAAACTATTGAACCCTGAAGGAGAGGTGAGAGGCTATTGAATTCCTGAAGGAGAAGTGAGAAACTATTAAACCCCTGAAGGAGAAGAGAGAAACTATTAAACCCCTGGAGAAGAAGTGAGAAGCTATTGAACCCCTGAAGGAGAAGTGAGAAACGTTTGAGCCCTTGAAGGAGAAGTGAGAAACTATTAAACCCCTGGAGAAGAAGTGAGAAGCTATTGAACCCCTGAAGGAGAAGTGAGAAACTATTGAACCCCTGAAGGAGAAGTGAGAAACAATTAAACCCCTGGAGGAGAAGTGAGAAGCTATTGAACCCCTGAAGGAGAAGTGAGAAGCTATTGAACCCCTGAAGGAGAAGTGAGAAACTATTGAACCCCTGAAGGAGAAGTGAGAAACAATTAAACCCCTGGAGGAGAAGTGAGAAGCTATTGAACCCCTGAAGGAGAAGTGAGAAGCTATTGAACCCCTGAAGGAGAAGTGAGAAACTATTGAACCCCTGAAGGAGAAGTGAGAAACAATTAAACCCCTGGAGGAGAAGTGAGAAGCTATTGAACCCCTGAAGGAGAAGTGAGAAGCTATTTTACCCCTGAAGGAGAAGTGAGAAACAATTAAACCCCTGGAGAAGAAGTGAGAAACTTTTGAATCCCTGAAGGAGAAGTGAGAAGCTATTGAACCCTAAAGAATCACTGAATATTGTTTTTTTCATCTTGTTCACGGACAGAAACTTACCTCATTTGCAAGTCGTTTCCGTGACAACGTTCTTCTGTAATAGCTGAAGTCGTTCTGAATGGCTGGATTGGTCATCTGGAAGGAGATAAGACAACAAGGTAATGTAGCACCAGCATTATAACAGCCATAAAGTGACAACCCCAAACTACTCCTGTCTGATACTGAGCCTGCATTGTATGCCTTTCATGCATCTTTAACTAAAATCTTTGGAATTTGTTTACTGTATTCGACGTAATAAGCGCCCCGTTCTAATAAGCGGCCATGGTGATATTTGCTAATATATTGGCCAGTGAACAATCCCAATTAGCACCCCTTCCGATTGATCAGTGTACACAAGACTTATTTATTCGCGTATAATACGCACTCGTATGATATATGCACACTTAATTATGGGCAATTAAATTCTGGAAAAATACATCTGTCGTACATGAACATTTCAGGCTGTCAGCACAAAACGCGATATTTATCTTTCAACTAAATCTTTTTCACTAAAATAATATTCCAATAAGAGCCGCCTATTTGTAATTTTGAGAGTGCCCTGGGCGCTTATTAAGTCGAATACGGTATTTGTAGTCAGCAACTTTCCAGCCATATGACGGTCACCTATTAATAACTGAGTCTGAAACAGATAAAGCAGTGGCTGATATTATGAGCAATGTCTGTGGTACCTTCAGGTCATCGAAAGTGAGGACGAAGTCCAGTATCTCTGCAAACTGCTTGAACAAAGATTGCTGGCACTCTAGATGTTCCCGAGGCGTCATGTTGTCTGAGCACAACTCTCGTAGCAGATCTGGTACAACGTTTTCTGGATAGAGAAAGACAAATCAGAAAGCAGGAATAATGTGTTTGTAACACTAGTGGAGATAAAGTGGACAATATGTCAATATCTACCAGGTGCTTATTCCTATCTTCCTCAAGTCACATGTCATACACAGGGATGTGAGCAGATTTTCAGGAAAAAAGAGGAAAAGTTTTGGGGGGTCTGGGAGAAATTATTTAAACATTTGATTGCATTTTAAGCAATTTCGTGCAGTTTGGACAACATTCTCACCAAGAAATGAAAAAAGTCACTGGCAAAAGTCAACAAAGATGGCGGATGCAGTAAAATTTCGAAGTTAAATCAGTACTTTTTAAAAATCGGGCATAGCTTCCGCGCACCCGGCTACTCGCCAGGACTACAGTTTTAAAAAACGTGATTTTCCGCGTTTCCGCGGGGATTTCACATCCCTGCATACAAGGAAGGTGTGTTTGTCCAGTAACTGTGCTTCAGGATATAACAGATTTATAGCCTGCCGGATCATGGGGACCTATTGCCGCACATTAGACGACTGGGCCACCGGTGCCCCATGATGTGGTTGAGTTGTGGTTTGTTAAGATTGAGTGAATGCTAGCCAAATTTCAGCCTCAAGGAGATGGCTGTATATAATCAAGCATCGCTGTGGGGGAACAGTGGTGGGTGATGAACAATCCCCGCTGCCCAGTACACTGTTGTTGTTGTTTAAAGCCACACCCAGCAAAATTTAAGCTATATGATGGCGGTCTGTAAATAATCAAGTCTGGACCTGACAAGCCAGTGATCGGGTGGTCAGGCTCACTGACTTGGTTGGTGCATGTCATCGCATCCCAATTGCATGGATCGATGCTCATAATGTCAATCACTTAATTGTCTGGTCTGATTATTTACAGACCGCTGCCATATAGCTGAAATATTGCTGAGTGCGGTGTTAAACAACAAACAAACAAAGAAACAAAGTCGCCTCTTACGACAAGCATAGTTGCTTTTTTATGACAAGAATGGGTTGCTGAAGACCTATGGGCTTCTTGGTGTCGACTCATAAGAATCATGGGGTGCTGGAGACCTATTCTCATTCTGAATCACATTAGAGTCCATCCTTGTTCTGGAATCCATGGTTAAAAAACATCCTAAAAATATCACTAGTCCAACTCCTGTGGGCAGATCAACCTTGTAACGAGATACGTGATAGATCACAATAAGGCCAGTGTAGTGGAAGTTTATCTGCTGTTTATTAAAAACTGACTGGAATAAATGTCAGCCGCGTGTGATGTCATTACATTCACATCAACAACATAATTAGAAACAATTATCCTAATTACATCTCGTTAAGTCCTGAGTGGCATTACACAAACAGGTCATTCATGAAGCTGTGGCCAGTTTTTTTAGGTTTTCTGTGAATGGAAATCATTTGGTTTGTTTTAAAGGGACAGTACATCGTAAGTTCTGTGAGTTTTCAAATCATGCATGAAATAATTTCTGTGTGTGACGTCACAGTTTTAGATCATGCATGATTCAATTCTCCAACCAAAACAATAGAGCTCCGCACAGTAAAGCCGACAACCTAAGCCCTGCACATATATCTTGATTCAGTCATGTCTTATCAGAGGCAAATGGAAGAAAAAGTTGCAATTTTTGTCAGATGGAAGAGATACAAAAATACAAATTGCTCTATTGGATTAGAAATCAGTGTTTACCAAGTTTACACTATATACACCTCGGTCGTATGAAGCCATGGAATCACTCACGTACCCAAAGTCCTTTGCGGCTCAGCCTCGTACCTCTGTCACATCTTACACAGTCCATTCAAGATATTGCACGTTTTTCATCTACACTTTCAGATTAACGTGTCATGAAATGTTTAAATGTCACTAAGAAAAGATCCAGAAACGCTACGAACTATTTCCATTAGCGTACTTATACCTACGTTACATTGGTTGTACGGCATTTACAAATGAGACAAGCCCAGTCACGTGATAAGCATACACCCGCAGAGTGGTCACTGGAGCAGAAACTCCTCTCGTGGAATAAAGCAAACAGCACCGAGTAAGCTCGGAGGTCATCGGCTTATGTTTACAAAGCTTCAGAACGGTCAACGTACTGGCCCTTTAAGTCAGTTATATTTTTATCAGCAGGAATGAATACTCACCCAGTTTTAGGGAGAATTCGTAGAAAGCTTTCAGTTTGAGAACTAGAGGGAAGACAGCTTCCAAGGCCTTCTCTTGGTGCTCGACGACTGTGGGGTTAGATATGGCCTGTGAATAAGTGAGAGAGTGAGTTAGTTTCTAGCTGCTTGGAACAATATTACATTTACATCACAGTGTTCATTCTGCTTCAGGTTGGGGGAAACCCAAAGAGATGCAGGTCTTAGACATTTACCACTTTTGTAAAACCAACAAGGTTGGGTCTTGTGCCAACGAAACTAGAAACATAAACAGGCGAATCTGGGATTTGAACCAATGATTATTAGTTTCTTAGGATGCAACTCTACACTGTGAATTGCAGCATCCGAGACGACAAGGCCACCTGTGCTACAAATAAACACATCCAACATTAGAAGTCATTCAGTGTCACAGGTGAAACATCTATTCAAAAGCACCTGTGAGTCAAATTGTCACGATCAAGCATTTAAACAGTGTGCAAGGCAATCCCCATACAGATATAGACGCATATATACATTCACCATAAACTAACATGCCCATGTAACCATGGTAACAGGTCAAACTTTCCACAGGGAACTTACCCGAGGACCTATCTTCACAACCCTGTCAATCAAACTGTCTTGATGTCTATATAACTGTTGCACTATATAACAATGGTATATAAATGTCATTGATCCCAACTGGGTGGATTGATGCTCATGATATTAATCACTGGATTGTCTGGTTCAGACTCGATTATTTACAGACCGCCGTCATACAGCTGCAATATTGCTGAGTGCGGCATTAAAAAACAAACCAACCAACCATCATTCCAAACTAAACAGATTACAAACCAAGAGGGGGTGGTCGGGTAGCCTAGTGGTTAAAGCGATCGCTCGTCACGCCGAGTGATTGAGTGAGTTAGAGAGTATAGTTTTACGCCGCTTTTAGCAATATTCCAGCAATATCACGTCGGGGGACACTAGAAATGGGCTTCACACATTGTACCCATGTCGAGAATCAAACCCGGGTCTTCGGCGTGACGAGCGAACGCTGTAACCACTAGGCTACCCGACCGCCCCTCGTCACGCCGAAGACCCGGGTTTGATTCCCAACATGGGTACAATGTGTGAAGCCCATTTCTGGTGTCCCCAGCCGTGATATTGCTGGAATATTGCTAAAAGCGGTGTAAAACCATACTCACTCATTCACTCACAAACCAAAAGCAGGAACGTACAGCGATGTAATGGCACAAACGTCAGGTCAACTAGGATGCGTACAGCGATGTAATGGCACAAACATCAGGTCAACTAGGATGCGTACAGCGATGTAATGGCACAAACGTCAGGTCAACGAGGATGTGTACAGCTTACATCTCCTCATTGAGACAACAACAGTGTTACTATCACGGAACTCTCATTTACATTGTGTTACAAAAATAACATGTTGGTCCTATAGCTATCAAATAGTTCAGAGGTCATATATGTTCAGAGGCCATATACGTTCACATGGAAATCCATGAACTTGCAACCAGTAACTCCTAACTCTCCATCCACCTTACAGCCTCATTTCAATTAATGTTTTGGGCAGCTATCTAAGGTGTGCCTATCAACACAAAATTGCACAATGCGCTGGAGTTTATTCATGCAACAAAGCACTGACGAAAAATCAAAAACAAACATTGTTACATTGAAACACTTCAACTGTACTTGTTGAGTCTACTCCCCCGACATCCTTTAGTCCGGGGCCTAGTATAGAAGGCTATTGATATCAGTTTGAGTTTGAAGATTTCTACAGGCGTTGCATGTCACATGAAGTCATATCAAAGAAGGCAAGCTATGGTAACATGATCATGTAGGAGGTTTTCCATAAGGAAATGAATCCTGTGAACCCCTCTTCCATGCACAGCGCTGTATGAGGACAACACCGAATGCGTGTCACAGCTCTGCACACCGCACAAGGGGACATGTAATACCCAGAGGAAAAAAACACTTGAAGCTATTTTGATCCAATAGATAAGAGATATTTGCATCACCATGTTTCCTAAAGTATTCTCCTTCCACTCTTCTGACAGGAAAAACTCCACAGGACATGGGCATATGTTGGCTCACATCACTAAGGTCGCTGATTGGACTTCATTCAAACTGTCTGACACATTACATAATCATACTCCTCCAGTTGGGAAATATCGACATGGGATACGACTATTGTATTAGACAGCTGTTGTATTAAAACATAATATTAGACAATTGTTGCACTACATAACAATGGTATACAACTGTTGCACTATATAACAATGGTATACAACCGTTGCACTACATAACAATGGTATACAACCGTTGAACTATATAACAATGGTATACAACCATTGCACTACATAACAATGGTATACAACCGTTGAACTATATAACAAGGGTATACAACCGTTGCACTACATAACAATGGTATATAACCACTGCACTACGTAACAATAACAGTACACAACTGTTTCACTATATAACAATGGTATACAACTGTTGCATTATACAACAATGGTATACAACTGTTGCACTATATAACAACAGTTTACAATGGCTGTACTACATAAAAATGGTATACAACTGTTGCACTATATAGCAATAGTATACAACGGCTGTACTATATAAAAATGGTATACAACTGTTGCACTATATAACAATAGTATACAACCGTTGCATTATATAACAATATTATACAACTGTTGCACTATTTAAGAAATAAAAGACGAGTGGAAGTTGTTTATCATACAATAAAACACTACAGGGAGAATAAACCATGAGGGGTGCATTTAATCCACAATACATACTTGTCAAGATGTACTGCAGAATTGAGTGTTAAAGATGCCATACTAGTTCCAGGAAACCTCCTTGAGACAACTGTTAACATGTCTTGAGATATCCACTACTAGGCTCTACTACCAAGAAGGTATTCATCGTCAACAATCAAGGGTGACCAAAGAGAGAGGATAGTCAGACACAACGTACCAGTCTTATTTCTTCTGTGGCTCCTGTGTATTTCCGTAATTCCTTGGTGATCTCATGGGATACTTTGAGGACGGCATCGACCATGTTGTACACTGGTCGCTCTTGGGCTGTGGGCTCCGTATCTGAAAGAACACATCATGAAATACAAAGACACACTTCAGGAACAACACTGCTACAACACTGCTACATCACCGCTACATCACCGCTACATCACAGCTACAACACTGCTTTATCCCCGCTACATCACAGCTACAACACCGCTTTATCCCAGCTACATCACAGCTACATTACTGCTATAAGCGTGCAGAGTAGTTCTAACAGATTCGAAGTGATCCTCATCCCTTTTGTGTTGGACACAAGCACCTGGGACCGGGTGGCGTTGTGTCCTCCACCATCTGATAGCACCATGCCCCCACCCCGACCCACCCCACTTCATCACAAGGACCTTGGAATGGACCTGGGATCTATCTCTCCTCCCACGTGACGAGGAGAATGAGCAAACACCTTCACTGCTGGGCTACTCTTCCGCCTCACTTCACAAAAAGGATGACCAATATTGTCCGAGGTGGACCACGAGGTTGACCACGAGGCTGACGACGAGATAGTTCACGAGGCTGACCACGAGGCTGACCAGGAGGCTGACCAAGAGATCTAGAGGCTGACCAAGAGATCTAGAGGCTGACCACGAGGCTGACCAAGAGATCTAGAGGCTGACCACGAGGCTGACCACGAGGCTGACCAAGAGATCTAGAGGCTGACCACGAGACTGACCACGAGGCTGACCACGAGACTGACCACGAGACTGACTTCAATGCTGACCATGGGCTCTCGTCGTCGCAGGTAGGTATGATGCAAGTACTTACTCTCAAAGTCCACGAAGATGTCCTGTGCTTTGGCAGGAGGTTCATTGTTGAGAAGAATACGTAAAAGGTTTCCCATCACAGCCTGTGCCGAGCCTAGAGGGAGCTGAAACAGACGAGATTATGTCATGTGATGGATCATCTCAAACGGACCAGATAGGAACTAAAGTTGGGCTGTACATCTACATCAGAGCCTGTGCTGCATCTATAGGGAGCTGAAAGAAGCGAATAATATCATGTGCTGTAATTCACACTGTTATATGCATGTGATGTCACGTTTGTTTGTTTGTTTGTTTGTTGTTTAACGCCACACTCAGCAATATTACATAGTCAAACATATGGAACAGTTTCACTAGTCACCATTGACGCTTCCCTCCGGCTTGCTATTGTGATCGTTGAAACAATACGTTTGGCATGTACAGTAAACTACGGTTATAACGAACTCAAAGGGACCACTCATTTTAGTTTGTTATAACCTCAGTTCATTATAAGCATATATATACAGCATAAATACAGCAAATGGACGGGACCTAAAAGCAGTTTGTTATATCTGTCAAACGACAACAAATATGACTTTTAATGAGGCAAAGTATGGCATTTATGATATACGTATCCATTCTCTGTCTAACTAAGGTTTATTTCAAGGTGTCAATAGCGGTAATTTGATCGTGGTTGCTGTAAATAACAGTGATTGTGTGCGTTCTACCGATCAGTTCACACAAGATTTCGCCAAAATTAATGTAAACACTTTAAATTTAATTTAAACAAAATTTTGAATCAAGTTAACATAAAAACAGATTAGACATAAGGAAAAGTCCAGATATACAATGAGCACTTTAAACAGCCAGGTCCCAGTGCGTGATCAAACTTGCCTGTCCCGACTTGGCAAGCAGGAATTCCGAACACCGCTTTGGATGATTGATTTCATGTCACAAATAATGCCTAATCTTTGCAATGTCACAAACAATGCCTGATCTTAGCAATGTCACAAACAATGCCTGATCTTAGCAATGTCACAAACAATGCCTGATCTTAGCAATGTCACAAACAATGCCTGATCTTAGCAATGTCACAAACAATGTCACAAACAATGCCTGATCTTTGCAATGTCACAAACAATGCCTGATCTTAGCAATGTCACAAACAATGCCTGATCTTAGCAATGTCACAAACAATGCCTGATCTTAGCAATGTCACAAACAATGCCTGATCTTAGCAATGTCACAAACAATGCCTGATCTTAGCAATGTCACAAACAATGCCTGATCTTTGCAATGTCACAAACAATGCCTGATCTTAGCAATGTCACAAACAATGCCTGATCTTAGCAATGTCACAAACAATGCCTGATCTTTGCAATGTCACAAAAAATGCCTGATCTTAGCAATGTCTCAAACAATGCCTAATCTTAGCAATGTCTCAAACAATGCCTGATCTTAGCAATGTCACAAACAATGTCTGATCTTAGCAATGTCACAAACAATACCTAATCTTTGCAATGTCACAAACAATGCCTGATCTTAGCAATGTCACAAAAAATGCCTGATCTTAGCAATGTCTCAAACAATGCCTGATCTTAGCAATGTCTCAAACAATGCCTGATCTTAGCAATGTCACAAACAATGCCTAATCTTTGCAATGTCACAAACAATGCCTGATCTTTGCAATGTCACAAACAATGCCTGATCTTAGCAATGTATCAAACAATGCCTGATCTTAGCAATGTCACAAACAATGCCTGATCTTAGCAATGTCACAAACAATGCCTAATCTTTGCAATGTCACAAACAATGCCTGATCTTTGCAATGTCACAAACAATGCCTGATCTTAGCAATGTCACAAACAATGCCTGATCTTTGCAATGTCACAAACAATGCCTGATCTTAGCAATGTCACAAACAATGCCTAATCTTAGCAATGTCTCAAACAATGCCTGATCTTAGCAATGTCACAAACAATGCCTGATCTTAGCAATGTCACAAACAATACCTAATCTTTGCAATGTCACAAACAATGCCTGAACTTAGCAATGTCACAAACAATGCCTGATCTTTGCAATGTCACAAACAATGCCTGATCGTGTAAGACTATGTCATGTGATCTCACTTCCTTGGACTGAGCACAGGACAATAAGGAAGCAGTGAAAGGTTCACCAACAAGTCATCCCTGTTCCTCTGCTGGTATAAATAACATAGCATGACTCTACATTATGATGGTCTCTATATTATGGCGGTATCGCAAAGTCTCATAATCAACCCCCACTGTCGACTTTACTTTTGCAAATCTGAGCACGAAATATTTCATTGCTTGTTCGAATACAGGACTCGTCAGTCACGGGTACTCGTAAGTATACACGATCTGGAATGTTTTTGAAGTGGAATTACCCCTACCTCCATTTGTGATTGGTTAGAAAAGGACCCAATTGTTTGGAGGATGTCCCTTGACCCAACCTAGGTTGTATGCATTCTGATCATTCACATTCCCTAACAGGAAGTGATGTCAACCACATACTCCACATGTATCACACCACAAAAAAGTGATACCGCGATAATATAGAGTTGCCCGCCCTTGAGTCGCAAATGACAGGTACTTTGTTAACCAAACTCGGTAAAGAAAATCAGCATCGATCAATCCTAATCGATGTGTCATAAAAGCTGAACAAAGAACAAGACACTTTTTAGGGTATGTCCTATTTAATAGGTAAGTAAGCGTGCGCCATTATGATCCATTATAAATGACTACCGCGATAATACACCGTACCATGCTGCTTGGTCATGAATGTGACGGTACAAGCCAGAATACCATCAGCTAAAAAGAGGTTAATCATGCATGTATTACTGCATGTTGGCTTTCAGCTTGTCATAACTCAACACTCTGCGGTAACAGTATCAGCTTACTAGCTACATTCTACTCCTTGAGTGTGAGAAACGTGTCTGTTCTGTTAGAGTGAGTGAGTGAGTGAGTGAGTGAGTGAGTGAGTGAGTATTGTTTTACGCCCCTTTTAGCAATATTCCAGCAATATGGGGGACACCAGAAATGGGCTTCACACATTGTACCCATGTCGGGAATCGAACTCGGGTCTTCGGCGTGATGAGCGTATGGTTTAACCACCAGGCTACCCGACCGCCCCTGTTAGAGAAAGTACCACTTCAGATATGTAAATGCCAGTGTTGGACATGATGCTCTTCAACTGAGACTCATGTCTGTACAAGCTGACTCTGGCAATCATATAGAGCTGTTTCAACCCTCATTAACAAACACATGACAGTAAGTTAAGCTGACAACATCAATGACATTAGATCCTCTTATCTTGCTTATAATGTTGCTATATGTCATCTCAGTTAGGCCCCAATAAAGTAATTTTAAAATCTTCATCTCATGCCTGTCCAGCTACGAACACTCCACCTCACATGATTTGTTTGTCTTGAAATACATTTGTCCAGTTTGATGAAGCTGCACCGACACCCTGGATGCTAATCTATATTGATAACTTACTATTGATGTTACATCCCTCATTCACTCACTCATTCACTTGACCACCCCCCTACCTGCTCGCTCAACCACCCTGTCACACTCACTCCCCGAACCCCCAGACACTCTTTCACCCACACCTACCCCGAACATTCACTCACCCACCCCAACACGCTCACTCACCCATCCCTACCCCTACACGCTCCCACACCCACCCCTACCCCAACACGCTTACTTATCCCCACATACTTACCCACCCCGTCACACTCACCTTACCCACCCCCGCACACTCACTCATCCACCACCTGCTCACACACCCACCCCTACCCCCCATACACTCACTCATCCACGACCACATACTCACACACCCACCCCTACCCCTACCCCTACCCCCACACACTTACTCACCCAACATCACCCGCTCACACACCCACCACCACACAACCACCCCTACCCCCACTCATCCACCAACTCGAACTCCCTCCATACACACCTACTCACCTACTACTGCCTGTATACAAGATATGATCCACCAATTACACGTTCCCAGCAAGACTCCCCGGGCAACATGACCCGTACATCCATTCAAGTTGCCCTGAAATGACTCGCAGTGCTCCCATTCTCTAGCGATGTAGCGGCTTATTTTATCTTAAGCTTAAAAACTTGAAATATTTAACTGGCATTGTGGATTCATCCAAACAAACAGTCCTCATCCGATGCTTTGCCAGCGAGAAAATATGACTCCTGATGAACATCACCTCCAATTTAGACATTTAATCGGAGGATGTGACGATCTCAACTGATAGAGCAGAAGGGGGAAGAGGGATTAAAATCATATAAGGAACAGCAAACATCAACCAAATATTCATCTTGTTTGAGTTTGTGTTGTGTAGAGCGATGTTGAAACACTGCCAAGCTGCAGCTTCTCAGGCTTGTCATGTATACAGGCGGGAGCAAATATTGTACCACATGCAGCAGCCCTATTGACTCGGCAGCATTTAGGTGTTGACAAAGTTGACCACATTCACTGTTGAACCTCACAAAGGTATCTTGTCAGTGGATGTTCGCAGTCTTGAGGCAGAAGAAAAAAACATGGCTGACATGAAGACACTTGAAACAAAGACACTTCAATTCAACTTTCACTTCCTAAAATAACCAACAAAAGGCTGCTCATGTCACGTCCTTACTGAAACAGTTCCACTCCCTCTAGTGTCAGTTTTGTTATACAAGAACACAATAGTGTCAGTGTTATATGACTCAGAACACAATGGTGTCGGTATTGTCATATGTACCAGAACACAATGGTGTCGTCATATGACTCAGAACACAATGGTGTCAGTGTTGGTGTCATATGTACCAGAACGCAATGGTGTTGGTGTTGTCATATGTACCAGAACACAATGGTGTCAATGTTGTCAGTAAACTGGATTCAAGGGAGTAAGATATATTCAATACCCAGTAAACTGGATCCAAGGGAGTAAGATATATTCAATACCCAGTAAACTGGATTCAAGGGAGTGAGATATATTCAATACCCAGTAAACTGGATCCAGGGGAGTAAGATATATTCAATACCCAGTAAACTGGATCCAAGGGAGTAAGATATATTCAATACCCAGTAAACTGGATCCAAG